TATGCCAATGCGGTAAACTGAGTAAACCGTACATCACAAAGGGTACCATCAACAGCAAAATTTACCGCACCGAGTGCCTGCAGAAGCGTCTGTTGCCCTTCTTGCGGTCCCACGGAGGCGAGACATTATTTTGGCTGGACCTGGCATCATGCCATTACGCGCGATAGACGGTGGAAAGATTTTGGGCCAAAGTTCGAAAATCGTCCAAGGTGTTTAAGAACGAGCTGGAGTTGAAGAAAGAATGGATGAAAGTGACCAAAAAGGTCAGCTCCACCATTGCACACAATGTAATGAGGGGTCTTAAGGGAAAGGTGCGGGCTTTCAGCGATGGAAAGGAAATTGAATAAAGTAATTATGCCGAAACATAATCCATATGTATCGGTTCATTCCCTGAAAGTTTCAAGAAAATCCGACTTAAAATAAATTTTTAGCGATCACTTTTGTCTGGTGCATTTTTTTCGACTACAGGCCTTAATATGCACACATCTGTCCCCTCACCAAAACCAATCGGAGTCGAAATGGTAGAGAAAGTTATTAATCTACACTCTTAGCAAAAATCATGTAAATTTAGGTGCTCTGAGAGTGACATATTCGAGCGTCAATTTTGACATAAATTTGAGTCATTACAAATGCGAAATATAGCTCAATCAAACGTACTTTTCATCGAGCAACGAACTTTTCAGTCTCGGAGCACTTAATATTACATGACATGTTTGTTTACGTCTCATCTTTTGTATCAAAGACGGATTTCATCACGTGTAAAATTACTTATTTCTTAGTGTGTACACTAGACTGATGCAAAATTTGACTTTTTCGCTCCACAGTGCTTAAATGGTTTCAAATTGGGTCCTGATTAGCCTCCCAAAGTTACAACTCATTTGGTTAGAAACAGACTTCGCACAAGTCATTTGAAGTTTGCATGTAAATTACTATGGGAAATCTCAACTTTTTGTTCATTGCCTTCTAGTCTTTTTCCATATTGAGCTGCGAAACAGTTCGAAAACCATTCTTATAGAAAATTTTCTCAGCTACAACTATGCTCAAGATCGTTTCTATGTAAAACGAGACAGGAAAAAGTTATTAATTATTTAACAGATTGGTAATCTTATGACATGATCAAGCAGCTGCTCTGAAGGCAACACTGTATTTTGCAGTGTGACATAGTAGCCATGATTTTTGTGTCCTATTCAACGCCCCAGAAACACCAATGTTGCCTGCTGAGCAGTTGATTGAGCATGATCATAAGACATCAGTGCATTGAACCATTGATAACATTCGATCCTTGCATTAAATCAAGAAGTAATCTTCAACAAAGTTGTAGCTGGGAAAATTTCCTACAAGTACAGTTGAAAGCTTTTGAAGCAAACCGATATGATGAATTATTAGATAGACATGAACAAAAATCTTAGTACCATAGTAATTCCCATACAAACTTCAAATGGTTTGTGCGATCTCAGTTTCTCACCAAATGGGTTCAAATTTTGAGAGGTTAGTCAGGATCCGATTTGGAATCGTTTAAGTATTGTGGAGCGAAAATTTCAAATTTTGCATCGCTCTAGTGTACACATGTACAAACATTCACTTCTTATGACATATTTCGGGTTCATCAGTTCTCTGCTAGGTCAGAACTGGATCACCATGGGAGCATATCGGCAGATTACAAAATTTCTTGTATCAGCCTGTTTTCCCACGCATAAGAGAAAATCCGCAGTGAATGTTCCCATGTATACTCAATTGCAATTTATCAAGAATGGTAGCAAGTGTTTCGTCAGAGAGGCTATTCTCTAAAACTGGTGAAACCACACAGACTCGATATCGACTCAATGCAAAACGCATGGCTCAATTAGTTTTCTTGGGATCCCTCTCGGATGGGTTTTGGAATATCTGAATTAAATATTTTCCGTACTTACCTGCTTTTAAACTCCGATCATCTAATCGTTTTGTTTCATATGTTAATCTTTCATTATTTAAGTCGATCATTTAATACCAATAAAACGAATATTATAACCTGTTAAATCACTCACCTAATCAAGTATCCTGAGCAAAAACTTCCACATGTCAAATGACATCAAAATCAGTGATGGAAAAGTTCGCGAAAACTCACTATGACTCGCAAACTTTTCCCTTGGTGAACTTCGTGAAATATCGCGAACTTTTCCAACACTGATCAAAATAGTAATTTACTATATTCTCATGATGTATGTATGTTACACTCAAAACATTTACTGCGTACGGTCTACACAATTTATTTCTAAATTATATCAATTATCACACTAAATGACTATTATAAGTTAAATGTCATAACAAGATAGCTTATGTAACGTAATGTAAACTTTAGACTGAACTTGGCGTTAATTTGCACCAACTATGATCCGTTATATTCAAAACATTTCTGTGCCATTTTGAAAAAATAATTGTTTAAATCGGTGAATCGATTATTTAAAAAAAATAATCGATTCACTAAGATCAATTCTTGTCTCAAGATCGCTCAATGCTAGCATCAACACAAGCTGAGCTGAAGTTCAAGTCCACCTTTCGTTCCCACGTTGGCGAGTACTCCACGAGTAATTAAGTGGAATTAAAGGGAAGAAAACTGAATTTTTGTAGCGCAATACCCTGGAATATCTTGCTTGAAGCCTTTTAATTGTTTCGAGTTTTGAAGAATTTTACATCTCCAAAATAAAAACAAAAAATAATTTTGAGTCATTGCTCGAATTTCAGATTATTTACTTCTCACATGCTCGAATTACATTCATCCTTGTCTCACTGACTCGTCAAAATGCTTCCGTATATGGATGAAAGAGACGATAATTCTCGCCTTACGAAAAGCAAACAACAACTTCCCGCTACGTGCCTGACTGGTACCTAAAGCATCTGAGCACCGTCTTTGCCACCGATATTGATGAATCGATCCAATTCACAACACTTCAAACGTAAACAAAAGACGGCAACAAGCTTCTGTTTTTCCTCTCGCGTGAATCATCATTCATGCGACATACCGACTTCTACTTAGTCATTCATACACGGTAGCCACCCGTCTAAACGACAAACAGCTGCTTCATTCAGCGTCCCGTGTGTAAATATCAACAGGAACTTTTAACTGGAATCATGGAAAGCAACAGCATCTAATAGCATGCTGAGTAATAGACGATTGGTACACCCTACTTACATATATGGATGCAAGATAGTGGCCCAGCTTAGTGGCATTTCCGTAGTGTTTTAAGACAAAAGAAATTTGCAACAGAAACGGCGAACGCGAAACACGTGTCCACTCGCTTCCTTTCGCTTTTGCCTTCGCTTTGAACTTTGATGCTGTCGACGAATGCAATTGTATCTATCCGGAATGCTCCATCGTATCTATCGTTGTTGCTGTGTTCTTTGTCCGTGAATAGGAATTTTTCTTGCTTCGGTTGGTTCGTTGGTGACAAATAACTCAACTGCCAACCAACTTAGCACTTTCTAGCTGAATTCTTATACATTTACTTGCAACACATTAGCAAACCTTCCCCCATAGAATAGTCCTTTCTAGCAATTTGTCACTCCCCAAAAAGGTTAATCGATGAATACATTTGCGAGTTATCCCCGAAAAGGTCAACCCCAACCAAACACAAATGGACTACCCTTCAGGAATGCCCTCAGAGGGGAAACACCCTAACCGGAAACTAACCATAAAACGAAAAGTCACGTCAAACTATTTCCCTTTCCGGTCAGTAGGGCTTCCTCCCACATCGACCTAGTGAACCCATTTCAAACAACAAAACCGATAAATTTAAAACTTTGACCGTCTCAAACGGGCGACACGTGGTGCCTGTTGAGAGCGGACAAAGCTCCGGGTGGACTTCATCATCGGGATGTTGTAAATATGACCGCTGCCAGTGCCATCAACCCAACCGACACGGACGGGATGGATGTCAAGCAAGGTAAACTTTCCAAACAAGAGCGCAGGAAGGCCTTTCCGGATCTGGACGCTCGCCACCAAGACGCCAGCTTCAACAACCGACCGACCATCCAACCGGTGTGCAAATATTTGCCGCATCAAGTTCGCATATGACGGGAGGGAAACAATTTTTCCTGTTGCGTTTGTTTGCCGAGTCCAAGCAACAGTAAAGTCAAATAGCGGCAAAGGGATTCACTAGACTCGGAACGGCGAGTGGGTGGAGATGGTTATTTTTCACTACTGCCGTAGGTGGAGCGAGCTTAGGAAGCTGGAGTGGTGGATAATTTTTGACCGAGGTCGTTTGCGAAATTACAACCTGTAAGTAGAAAAATATGGGTGGTAAATATTTGTTGAGGTGAGATCGCCGTTTGTAGTTAAATGCAGTTAAGGCGATTCCTTGTAGAGTCCACAAATGGCCGCCACGTAGGCTATACATGCACTCCCACTTCGAATTTTCAATTACACAAATCTCGGAAATCGGTGCCCTATTTAAGCTGGAATTGCTACTTCGTGTACCCGAGCAAAGGATTATACCAAATTGATAACAAGTTCTGATACCCGGTTATCAAGATTTGATAACTGAATACGTTATCATTGTGGTTGAATAAGCAGCCATCATCTTGCATGGTCACGAACCTGCCAACATCAATAAGCTGGAACGCAGCGTTGATTGTAATCCTGGCCCCGATTGAATGGTGATTAATTTTATTGATTTTGTATCATGTGTTGTTGTTTCACTTTACATATACCTACCCACATATTCCTTCCTTCGTTCCTTCAGACGGCAAATCGATACGGATGTATGTCATTAGCAAGTGCGGTGGAAATTCGATACCCTTAACCAGATTTGCGCCTTCCTACAACGGTTGGTGGTGGTCTTCTGGATCGAATCGGCTTACCGGATAACCTTCTCCAGGCTCCCCTCCTCCCCCCTCCCCCCTCCCCAGTGCTTGGTAGCCTGGCTTCAAGTGTTCCATGATTGATTATACCGCAGGGCACTTGTTTGCTGACCGTGAAATGGATGCCCATACGTCTGTTGATCGAATTTTTCTTCTCCTTTCAGATGTCACGTTCGAACTTTCAACGCTCCCAGAGTCGAGTTTGGTATGGCAACGGTAACAGTGTGCCAGATAATCCCTTCTACGGGGATGCCCTCGCCATGGGTAGTGGATATTATTTTCACTACAATCAACTGCAGGGGCGGCAGCCTTCGTCACTGAGGCCTTCGCAGCCGAGCAGTTTTCAGGATTTGGAGGAGGAAGAGGAACTGCTGGTGCAGACGACGCCCGAAAAGCAAATCAATGGCAATGTGAACACCAGTGCCGGTAGCACCAACAGTAGCGGATCTGCCAGGAGTGGCAGCACAGTTTGGAATGAGGCCAACCGTCAGGGCAGCCCGGCTAGTCACAAAAGTCAGGTGAGTTTTTGTTACGCATCCCACGCTTTAGCATCGATTCTTAAATGGTTATTATTCGACCACAGGACTCTGGATTTTCGGACACAGAACTCTCACCGAACATGCCATCGATAAATAGCAATACCAGCTCAAATAGTAAGAATTTCAATGAATCCTCACCGGACAAATTGACACCAAAGAGAACCATCAACGAGCAGCTCTTCCAGCGATCGCCTTCCATCTCCAGTGAAGTGTCCACCCCACCGACCGTAATTCGACGACCTGCGCCGGAGATAACTCGCGATGAAATTACCGCACGACGAATATCGTACAGTGAACCCCACTCGCCAACGCTTTCTCCCGCAGATCCATGCGAGGACCTGGTGTCCAAAATAGATAGCCTCAACTTTGATAATACATCGCCCCTCGACGGTAGTCAACTGAGCGGGAAGTTCAATACCACCGAAGAAGATGGTTGCCCATCGTCGACGGGACCTTCATCGCTGTCGTCATCTTGCCACTGTCCCACTCGAAGCAGTGGAAGTTCCCTCAAGCGTGGTCGAGTCATAACCAAATGCAGTCGAGTTAAGCGAAACCTCAACCACCAGTTGCGAGACTCCGAAGAGGAGATGATCTCGCTGGATAGCAGTGAGCTAACGAGCATCCTTAACCAAACTCTAGCGCAGGACGTCAGTCTGTCGGCGTTGAAAACTCCAAAAAGCATCCTCAAATCACCCCCATCCTACAACAACGAAACCGTATTCCTTGGGTACGTTTCACCCGACCGCAACAACAATCTCCGCTCGAAATGCGGCGATAATATTCCCACCCGGGACAAAGAACTCCCCTCCTACGCTGAACTCTACCCGAACGGGACCTCAACTCCCATCATGTACCCACCAAAGTTCTACCGCTCACTCCCCCCAACTCCAACTCGAACGCAACGCAGTCCCGCCAAGCTACGTCCCACCAAGCTGATCGACAACTTCTACGAAGAACCTGACCCAGACCCGAACCATCGTCTCTCCTCCAAAGCCGAACTGACCTTCACCGAGTACGACAACCCTCTGCTCAATGGGCACACCCCCGCCGTCCAATCGTGGCTCGACGGACTCAGGTTTTCCTACCAAAGTGAAGTCATGTCCATCCTGCAAACGAAATCGATCAGCGTGGAAGCCACTCGGAACATCAAGATGACTTCGGCAACCGCGGTGAAACTGATCCGCCATCTCCAGTCCAAGGTCATTTCCCTGCAGGGAGAATTCGAGAAGGTCGAAAAAGTGTTCGCCTCAATCAAACGCTACCAACAGCAACAGGAGGAAGAAGACGAAGACGACGAGAAGGAGATCTACCAAAAGGCGGCACCGTTGGTGCAGAGCCTGGCTGCCAACATCTATGAATTCATTCAGAAGCAGAAATCAAACGACTACTTCGGGAAGGATTCGACGGAGCGGGTGGATCTGAAAAAGTTCCAGGAGAACAGTCAATCGCTGGTCGATATGACGACGGATCTGAGGATTGCGGCAGCCAATGGGGAGGATTTCGACTACCGATCGGTGGAAGAGGAAGTCCAGATCATCAAGCGGTACTTCCTGATTACTATTCGGTTGATTTTCAAAAATTTGGTCAAGGTGATCGTCGACACGATCGAGGACTCCAAGTGTGATTTGATTCTGCGGTCGAATCTGAGCTACGTTTCGATGCTGTCCAATTTGGACTTCCAAGGGTTGGCTTCGCTGAACGATGCCTTCATCTCGAATGGGACGGTCCGGGCACTGTTGATCGTGTGCATTGAGTGCAAGTTTTCGTCGATCAGGGCGTTGACTTTGAGAGCTCTGGCAACGGTGTGTTCGACGACGGAAACGATAAGGCAGCTGGAGAAGGCGGACGGGGTGGAGATTCTGCGGGATATTCTGGCCGATCAGAAGTCCAACGAGCGGAGCGAGCCGGAATTCCGGGAGGCAGTGTCGGTGCTGACGCAGATTACGGCTCCCTGGCACGGGGAGGACCACCGGATAGACGGGCTGAGGCAGCATGTGCACGCGATCGTGGAAGCCGTCACGGGTGAGTACCGTTTAAATGTCTTAGTTCGTCCTTTTTGGCCATTACGTCCCTGCTGGAGTTTTACGCTTGCCTTTATCGTAAAGTTCTCGGAGCATTTGCAGAGCTTGTCAATTTGGTGTAGGGACATTAGGCCAAGTGCCAGTAGGCCGAATGCCAGTAGGCTGAATGTCATGTGGCAAAATGCCATTAAGCCAAATGAGTCACAAAATAAAAAGTGTTAGATTGATCTCTGAACAATCTGGCCTGTAAGATTTTTTCAGATCTCTAGTTCGGGCAGTTAAATAATAACCATATTAAACAAAGTCGAACTTTAAATCATATCTAAGGTTCTGAGTTCTTATCACTCGAAGTATTAAAAAAAACTACAATATCTGATTCCAAAAGAAAAAAAAAGTGGCCTTCGAGCCGTCCGTGTAGACTATCTGGTAGCCTCTGAGTTTTGTAGATACTAGCTCACTGAAACGTTGTACAGCCGAGATTGAACCAGGATCTTTCTTTCGGATGTCCTTTAATTTCCATATAATACGCGGAGGGGCGGCGTCCCATACTTCGTCCCCGATACGATGAATTGTTGATACCTTGGGAAGTTCCTGCTGGGTCAGGGAGCGCAGCAGTTTATTAGCGTCATCAAGTAGGAAGACTCCCTCATCACTTCCTTCTGTTCTCTCCAAAAAGTTCAGTGCTCTGGAGCAGACCGCCTCGATGAAGATGTGTTTGAAGGGTAGAATGCCAGCTTCAATGCAGGCCGAGGGCGCTGGGGTGCATGGAAGGAGCCCTGAGACCGTTCGAATGCTGCGGTTGTATGTGGCGCTCAGCTTGTCGGTTGTCGTGTCAGCCGCTCGACAGATGATTTCGGCACCGTATAACAATTTACTGTTTATGATGGCCTTTGCCAACCTTAGAGCTGTTTCCCGATTATTCGCCTGATGCAGACTGGTGATGGATTTAAGAAGAGAGATTCAGGGTTCGCACTCTTTTTTAATAATCTCGCAGTGCTTGTTAAAATTCAATCGCCGGTCGAGATGAACTCCAAGAACTCGAACTGTGGTGTGGTAAGGTATTGGGATACTGTTGATTTTCACGGGCTTCTTTCCTGCGTGGTGGCCTCCGTTGCAGAAGTGTTGGTGCCAAAACCCTGACGAAAGGCGTGCTGCCGGTTGTCTAGGAGATTTTTTTGTACGGAGATATTCAGTCAGGCGTCGGTTCACCATTCTCTCCATTACAGTTAGTTAGCGATATTGGCCGATATCCTTGTGGGTCTGTGGAGGGTGTGTTCTTTTTCGGAATGGGAACGACCAGGCTGTGTTTCCATTGCGTCGGGAATATTCTCTCAGTCGATATTTTGTTGTAGATATCCAGGAGGAGCTGTTTACCACAAGGTGGGAGGTGTTGGAGGAGAGGGTAGCCAACGTCGTCTGGGCCAGCGGATTTACCTTTTCCATTTGCCAATGCGTAGCACATTTCCAATAACGAGAATGGTTGGTTGATGGTCGATGGTGGTTCTGGATCCGGAATTGCTATGGACTCCAACGTTTTGTCGATGGCCTCGTTCTGTCGAAATTCGTTGTCATATCCTTCGATTGCACTGAGCTTGGTGAAATATGTGTTAGCTGCTAGTTAGCTCTTCAACATTGATTGTTTCCCTGTTCTTGAGCTTGTCGTTGATGGTCATCTCATATGAGGCCCAATCAGCTAGTTCATACCGCCAACGAGAACGACGGGATGTCTCCGGTGGACAGTCGTTAGTATAAATGGTAATTGGACGGTGGTCACTTCCTAATGGGTCGTCCGAACAGTACCACCGTAGTTGATTCACAATTCTGCTGCTGGCAAGAGAGACGTCGATAGCAGTGTCGATCTGTCCTCGTGTAAAGGTGGGGGAACCGTCGTTTAATACGATGAGGTCAAAATCGGCAGCCACTTCGACCACAATGGTGCCCCTGATATTGGGAATGTTGGATCCCCAAAGCGGATGGTGGCCGTTGAAGTCGCCGAGAATTATTCGAGGTTCGGCGAACTGATCGACGAGTTTACGTAGACGTTGACTCAAGTCCGCATTGTCTTGCGTAAGGAGGTACAAACTGACTACTGATACCGGGAAGGAAATTTCAATGCGAGCCGCAACCGCAATGATATCGGTTGATAGAAGGGGACTGACCTGTGTATTCCAAGAGCTGTCGATTGATAGATATTTGCACCTCCCCTGAGTAGCCAATGGTATTGGCCCTGCAACGTTTTGTCCATGTAGCTGCGGTCCGCTCTGTGAACCTCTTGTATGGCCAGGATGATCGGAGATTTGGAGCGGACTAAGTCCTCGAGGTCGTGAAGGTTGTGGAAAAAGCCGTTCATGTTCCATTGTAGGAGGGCAAAATTTGTTTTTATAGTTTTCCTTGAAAATTTAGGCTTTTTTCACAACATATACGGCTAGACAATCAAGCGTCGAGACCATGTTACAGTCGCTATAAATCAATTGGGACGCATGTTAGTCTAGCCGCATAGGAGAGTTGAACGAAAACCCAAAACTTGATAACTTCAAAAATCCTAAAATTACAAAGAAAAATATAAGAACTTATTGCGCCCTCTGTCTACAGACCATGAAAACCATAAAAAAAAAACAAATAAGAATTAAATTGATTTTTTCAATTATTTTTCATTTGAAATCATGATCTTTGAAATCGTCCCAGTGGTTCAAAAGTTGAGAAATTTTGAAAAAAGTAATTTAAAAAAAATGATATTTTGGACCACCAAACGGTCATCATAATGACAACATAAAAAATATAATTTAATATTCTGCAATAAGGAACACAACTACCAATTTTTTTGAAATTCTGAAAACCACTTTATCGTTTTTGATGGCTGTATATGGAAACTGGCTTGGAAAACTAATAAAGTTTCAGATTTCAAAATGAAAAAAAAAAAAAATCGAGACCATGCATACACAAACAATTTCACCTGAGGAATTTTTAGCCAACGATCTTTCATGGCTAATTTCTTCTTCTTTTAAACATGCGCCGTTCTTACGAGGTTTATCGTTTTTATCTAGCTGAAAGTGGAACGTAGATTTCTAGCTGAAAGTTTTGGGAACTTCCGCGAAGTGCAGTTCCATTAGCATCAATAAAACTGCAGGATCTTTTTAAGTCTGAGAACTTCAGAGATATCCAGTGAGCTTCAGGGAAATCAAGAGCACTTCAGGGAAGAGAGACCTTGAGGAATATTTTTGAAACTTTTAGGAAATTCCAGCTAACTCAGAGAATCTAGGCCTTGAGATCATTAGGAATTTCCAGAGATCTTAAGGGCACGATTGTTCCAGGAACATCAGGAAAATCCAGGATTTTTGGTAAGCTTAAAGATCTGTAAGGGTAAGTTATGATCAGTGTTGGGAAAATATCAAAAAATCAAATCTCACCTATGCCCAAGATCACACTTGATTTTCGCAGACAAAAATCAAAAAGCAAACATTGCAACGGTTGATTTTACAAGCTGTGATATTGCAGCTCAGCATATCAAGCTAACAAAACTCACCAGCTTCAAATCTCAACAAACTGTGGTGAGATTGAGTTTCATGATTTTTGCCTTACACCCGATCGCAACCGAAACTTCCATAACGGTTGGCAGCAGTCACTTCGTGTCTGCAATCGGTGAACAGTAAAAAGAGATAGCAAACTATACTTTCTCTTTGTGAGAAAATGATGTCTTCTTTCCTTTATTTAACGTCGGTCTCTGTTCCGCAATCTAGTGCCAATCACCGACGGACATCGATTGCCATCCATTGACGGCAATCGAATGTGCAGGACGGCAGCTTCCACACCTGCGTAGGATATCGCACCCATTCAACAACACACATGGGCCGGGACCAACGGCTTTACTTCCCTTCCGAAGGAAGACGTGACCAGAGATTTTTATGCCTCAGAAAAATCCCACCGACCTCGGCTGGGATTGAACCCAGACGCATTGGGGTGAGAAAGCAGTCACGCTTACCACTACACCACCGGCGCCGGCTTATCAGAAGAAAATTATGTGCAACGGAATAATTTTTGTGTCGAGTCAACTCTCAGCTTGATTTTTGCACGTTGTCAATAGTCTCGCAATATCAAAGGAGCTTGTAAAATCAATATCAAGCGTGATATTGAGAGCGTATGAGAGCGGAAAAATATCGTTTGATTTATGATTTTGCCAACGCTGGTTCTGATAAATTCAAGACAGTTTCATTAACTTCGGCAATATTTTGAAAGGAGTTCTGGAAATTTTAGGATAGTCCAGACAACTCCAAATTGCTAAAGATAATAACATTAATTTTACGCAAACTTCACAGTAGTCCAGAGAGCTACAGTGATGTTTAAATGATTTCAGAACAGTTTTATTTATTCCAGGACGGTACCATGAACTTCAGGGGCCTCAGATCTAGTTAGTGAAGACACGGTATTACCAAGCCGAAGGCGGTGGGTTCGATTCGCGGTCTGCTCAAGGACATCTTTCGGGTTGGACATTTTCTCGACTTCTTGCCACACAATATACGAATTCATGCATTCGCTGGCATAAAAAGCCCTCAATTAATTGCAGTGGAAGTGCCTCTAGAACACTAAGTTGAGAGCTGGAAAAACGCTCGCGACAGAAGCGTAAAATCCTTGAAGTAGAATAAGAAGAAGAAGAAGAAGATTCAGGAAATTTGAGAAAATTTCAAGGAAGCTTCAAGAAAATCAGGGCAGATTGGAGAACCTTAGGGCAGCAAGGAAAATGTGAGATCATTTTAGGGGAAGTTCCGTGTGTGGGGTCATCAGCTATGATCAGAGAATATTAGAGACAATTCCATTAATTTCAAGGAAAATGAACTAGATTTTTAAAAGTTCTGAAATCTCCGAAAGAAGGTTCAGAGAACTTCTAAGGATATCATAGATTTTTATGAAGTTTCATTAAATTCTGGAGAGTTCCTAGTATTTCGAGGACGATCAGAGAACTTCGGAGCAGTCTCATAAACTTTAGGGAAATTGCAAAAACTTTCA